GGGGCTCCGCCGCCCGGCCGCGCTCGGGAGGAATCGAAAACGAAAGCAGAGAGCAGGAGGCAGGAAACCGCCCAGCCTGGAGGCTTCCTTGGCTGCAAATCACCCGGGAAACAGATATGCAAGAGGTGATTGAAAGGGGGGGTGGGGATTTCGTTTAATTATAGAAAGTGGTTTGAGTAGGAAGGCACCTTAAAGCTCATCTCGTTTCACCCCTGCCATGGTCCACTAGACCAGGTTGCTCCAAGTCCCGTCCAACCTGGCCTTGGACACTTCAGGGATGGGGCAGCTACATTTCCTCATCTACTTGCTGACTTCTGCTCTCTCTGCATAAACCTAACATGAATCTAGTACAGATCATTAAGCATATAATGTAGGAAAAAAACCATAGCATACCCAATTAATTGTAGTATTTATGTAGCAATGCCGTTACTTTTCTTTGTTCCCGACTAACAGTCAACTGCTGATCAGTGCTGGTTGCAGCAGTGTGTGTCCTGGCAGGGCTGTGAAGCTCTGCTGGTTTTGGCTGGGGTGGGGTTAATTTTCTTCACAGTGGCTGGTGTGGAGCTGTGTTTTGGATTTGTGCTCAACACAAGGCTGATAATAGAGATGGTTTTGTTGTTTCTGAGCAGGGTTTACACAGAGCCAAGGCCTTTTCAGCTCCTTATATTACCATGCTGGCAAGGAAGTTGGGGGTGCATGGGAAGCTGGGAGGAGGCACAGTTGAGACAGGTGACCCCAAATGACCCAAGGGGATATTTCATACCATGCAACATCATGCTCAGTATATGAAGCTGGGGGTAGGGGGGAGAAGAAGGAAAGGGGTGACGTTTGGAGTGATGGCATTTGTCTTCCCAGGTCATGGCATGATGGGGCCCTCCTCTCCTGGAAATGGCTAAACACCTGCCTGCCCATGGGAAACAGTGAATTATTTCCTTATTTTGCTTTGCTTGTGTGCATGGCTTTTGCTTTTGCTTTCCCTACTAAACTGCCTTTATCTCAACCCATGAGTTTTCCAGGTTTTACCCTTCTGATTCTCTCCCCAGTCCTTCTGGTGGGGAGTGAGCGAGTGTGGGCTTGGCTGCTGGCTGGGTTAAACCATGACAGAAGCAGAAATGCCATGTTCCTGTTAGTGTTGAAGTAGGGCTGGGGCTGGGAAAAAGCACAGCAAATACTGAATCAAAAAGATGGGGAGAAAGTTGAGGACTAAATCCATTTGAGATGAGCTTTCATACTGCAACTCGTTGGCAATGCAAGTTTCAGGAACAGTAACTATCAACTGCTCCCTCTGGATCGGGAAGTTTACCTTGAAAATAAAGTGAATGCCAGCCTGTGTTGCCTGTTGCTGATGCCTGATTTGAAAGGCATGTGAAACTACACAGTCACAGTCACTGCTCAGGTCATAGAGAGAAAACCACCTCTAGGAACAAGGCCAAGGTGGGACTGTCTGTGGTTTTGCTCTTTCTTTGTTGCTGAATGTTATATAGCGATCTTTTCATTGTGCACATTTCCCCATATCTGCCCCCTTGCTATGATACTTGAACAAACGAAATTATTTTTGGAAAACGATAGAAAAAGGAGAGGTAGAAGGAGAAGTTTGCCACGTTTGTCAGGTCTAGCTTTAGAAAAGTAAGTTGATAGTTCTGGACTGGTTTATGCTCTGGGTGTGGATACATCCATTCTTGGGTTGTCAACAGATTGTTAAGGATGATAAAACTGAGATCCATACTCAAGCTAGTTTCAGAACTGACTGATAAGGTAGAAAATGATTCAAACACTGAGTCAGCAATGTATTGCCAACTTCAAGCAGTAGATAATGAGAGAGGCAAGCTGTACAATAATTTGCTTATATTTATTTGTCTTTTGTTTTTCAGCCAGTTCCAATGAAAACATGCATTTCTGCATTAATCCACTTAGAAATCTGAACTACTGGTCTGAGGAGCTTTGCTGGATACTTGGAACAGTATCATCAGCACAGAGCAGGAAAGTAAAGCAGAAGGAAGCTGCAAATGCAGTTGTGGCAAGCATGTTCTATTCTCCACTTAAATACATTCAAGAAGGGTTTTGGTTCAGGCCTGAGTGAAAACAAAGAAACATTGGTGGATTTATCCTGTTTGTTGGTATGTTTTGCAAATATAAATGCTCCAATACTTGACTTCCTTACCTGCTTCAAACAGAACCAGTTTATGTGAAACAACACAACTGGGTGAGGCAAAAGACATCACTGCATGGGACAGGAGTCCCAAATCGGTGTCATTTTCATAGGGCAGTGAGTGATTCCAGCCTTGAATATCAAGGCTTTGTTTAAGTTAGACACCAGTGGAAGAGTAGCTGGATTGCTGTAACCTTTTGCTACTGTTTAAAATGCACTCCCTGTACATTTTTCTCTCTGATGTCCTCTACTTGCAGCTGCAATATCTCCTTGTTTGCCCTGCCTCTGCTATTCAGCTGACTCCGTAGTAAGTGAAATCAGCTTTCAGAGACTTGAAACTGAAGTTTTGATTCGTATGAGCAAAGTGTGCATGGAAATAGGTGTGTTTGAGCACCAGAAGAAACAGCAGAACAAAGGTTAAAAGAATGGCCTGTGTTGATAATCAAAAACACAGCAGTAAAGGCAGTAAAATCGAGAAACACTTTCTGTCAAACCAGGCAAATCTGCACACTGGAGCACAGACAACTTGTCAGCAGAAGAGCCTACCATCTGACAGCTGGACATGGCAGGAAGATACAGCACATCGCAAATGCCATTTATTTCCTATTGGTCCCACTGGAAGCAAACCATAAAATAAGGAAGCACAGAAAATGGGCAAATAAGTTCCATAAGGTGCATGGAGGTAGAAGTAACTAGACTGTGAAGCACAAGGATGCCACCACAGTCAGTGCTGGGTCCCACTGGCTTTCGTACCTGATAGTGGGCAGAAAAGACCCCTCCAAGGTGGCTTGCCACTGGCAGTGAAAAGTAACACAAGAGATACCAAAAGGGTGGGATGGTTGGTGCCCATCTTCCCTTATGCTGCTTGCAATATGGGTCCTGGAAAAACCTGTGGAGCACACACACGCCTCAGGAGCTGTGAGTATAAGGTTTTGACAGCATGAACCAAGTTGAATATTGAGTTGCTTGACCGCATTCTGGGATGAAGAGCCCTGCTCCACTGGCTCACGTGATCTCTTGGGGTGCTCTCAGACCCTCTGTGGGCTCTGGGGCTCTGCAGGGCTCGGATTGGGAGGGTGGGGTGGGAGCTGGAAAGTCCCAGAGCTGGAGCCAAGATGAAGATCCTGCAGTGAGAACCTGGAGCAGCTTCCCGTGGTGGCGCTGGCAAGATGCAGAGCTACTGCTGAGAGAGCAGAGCTGGCAGTGCAATAAAGCTTGTGGGTCTTGAGCTGAAATCACTGAGGGGCTGGGGTAGGGATGGTGGCTGGGATAGGGATGGTGGTCTTTGGATAGGGACTGTAGGGCCTGAGCAAGCAGAATTGCTGATTTTTAATGCACAGCCTCAGAAATGGGAGGGTTTGGAGGTGCAGTGGTGCCTGCAGCTCCTTTGTGCCAAGGCACCAGCAAGCCTTGGTCCTACCCCTGATTTCCCAGGCCATGGCAGGGAAGGAATGTTTTGAGGTAAAAATGAGGGCCTGGATTGTGAACAAGTAAGAACAGCCATGAAGGTAGAACTTTGGGGGGAATGTGCAACGAAAAAGGAGTATTTTGGAGGGAATCTTGAGGGGCAAAATGAACCTTCTGGCAACAGGGAACAATCAGAGCCCATGAGGGTTTGTCAACTGGCTTCCTGTGGCGGTAAGAGAAGGGCTGTCGTGGGGGGAGCAGTTTGTCCCTGGAGAGCACAGTGCTGGGACACGGGTGAGACACAGCAAGCAGCTTTTTTCCTGCGTTGGATCAGCAGGAGGTGGAGGTCAGAGGTGGGGCGGTGGGTGCCTCCCTGCTCCGGGGTGTGTGGTGCGAGCCTGCAGACAGAAAAAGGGGCTAAGGCCGTTGGCGCAAGTTGTGTTGGCAGAAGGCAAAAAGTGGCAATGGTGTCTCCCGTGGTGCATTTCATCTGAGGACTGAGGTGGGTTTCAGGTGCAAAGGCAAAATGGGGGGGTGAGTTTAGATAGTTTAGCCAAGATTTAGCCAGTGTCCGAGGGTGGGATTGGAACCGTAGATGAAAAGGAAAAGGCGTTCCGGGCGAGCGCCTTCACCGCTCGGCCACGGTGGGGGGGAGGGGGAGGCGTGACCTCCTCCCACCGCCCTTAAGAAGGCGGGGCCGCCATCTTGGGGAACGGCGGTGCTGGGGCGGCTCCGGCAGCGCTTCTGCATCTCAGCAGCAGGGAGACGAGAACCGGGAAACGGCACCGCGGAGAGGGGAAAGGGGTAGAGGGGAACCGGCACCGGGAAGAGGGGAACTGGGGAGAGGGGAATGGGGTAGAGAGGAACCAGCGAGACGGGGACCGGCGCAGCCCCGCTGAGCCCGGTCGAGAGGGAAGAGCGCAGAGCAGGGAGGGAGGGGCAGAAACGCCGCGGGCGCTCGGTCCCGGCAGGCAGCGCTCAGGCCCGGCGGTCGATTCCCTCGGCACCCCGACTCCTCATGGCCTCTCTCGGCAGCGCTCGGCAGGAGCTGCCAGGTTGGCGCTGGGCTCCGAACGGGAGGCACCTGCAACCGCTGCTTCTGAGAAATGCCGAAGTGTGGGAGGCTGGATGAACCTCGCTGCTGGAACCGGCCAGGAGCTTCCCTGGGATTTTAGCTAATAAACACGGGGACTATTATTTCCACATGGAAGAGACTGGGCATATATTATTAGATAGAAGAAAATGACTTGGAAGAGGTTTTCTCCTGGGCGAATCAGCCGCTCGGCAGGAATTGCACTTGGGAAATCACTTGGTGTTCCCCGAGAGCGTCCCGAGAACCAGGAACGAGCCGGCCCCGCCATTCCAACCGGCCGCCTCCCCATTGGCTGCCCTGACCGCGCACCGCTCACCCATTGGTCACGGCAAAGCTCTCATCGCCTCCCTATTGGCTGCCATGACTGAGCACCGCTCGCCCATTGGTCACAGCAAGGCTCGCACCGCCTCCCTTTCGGCAGTACCGAAGCCCCACTAGCTGCTGTCTCTGTCAATCCCGCAAGGTCCCCAAAGGGTGCCCTGCGTAAAGCCTGATAGAAAATGAGAAATAAAATAATTAGTAAGATGAAAAATGAAATAGAAGAGGAAAACAAAACGAATAGAAAAAACAAAAATAAAAGAAAAAATAGCAGAAAAATAATTATACTAAAAATATAAAAAAATAGAAACCAAAACCGGAAAAAAACCCCATAAAATAAAAAATAAAAAGTAAAAAGAAATATGAATTAAAAAAAAACTACCTAAAACCCATACAATAAATAAAAAAGGGAAAAAATAACAAATAGAAATTTTAAAAGATTATAAATAATTAAAAACAAAAAAAGAAATAAAAATTAAAAAGGATTAAAAAAATAAAGAAAAAAAAGAGAATGAACCAGAAAAAAAATACAAAGCAAAATTATTATAAAATAAAAAATAGACGAAGAAACGCAACTAAAACTGAACGAGGCTGTTCCTGGGGCCGTGTTCCGTCTCTCCCGGCGGGAGCGAAATTGCTACCACAACCGCCGCGCGGGTCGTACTGCGCCTGCGCGCTGACTCGCGCCTGACACCCACTGTCTGAATGAAGATTGCACCAAGAAAAAGAACGCATGCGCAGTTGCTCGAATGAAGCCGGTCATGCTCGATTGAGGCGGTGTGGGGGGGTAGTCAAGTTGGCCGCGCCGACGCATGCGCAGTCGTTAGCAAAACGCCGGCGATCACGTGGTAATTAAGGGCGGCCGAGCGAGGGGAAGCGGCGACGCATGCGCAGTGCCTCTAATGCCGCTGCAGCGCTCTCTGCTCAAGTTAAGGGCCGGCTCCGGCGGCACGGCGGGACTTTCGGTCTCCCGTCTCTCCCAGGGTGTGTGTGGGGGGAATAACATGAAGATTTTTGAGGCGAAAGCGCAGAAATTAGTGAGGGGCATTCTCCGGGTAAATAGGGGCACCGGAAGTGAGAGCGACCGGACTGTTTTGGACGGCTCACCACCAAGGATGGCGCCCTCCCTGACCGCAAGTGCTGCGAGACGTACAGAAAAAAAGATGGCGGCGCC